AAAAGACTTATAGCCAGAATCTACACATAATTCAAGGAAATTAACATAAAAAGATTAAACAAAGCCCCTAAAAAGTAGACCAAAGAACAGAAAATTCTAACAAAGACAGACTAATGGTTGACAAATACATGAAAAAATGCTCAATGTCTCTAATTATCAAGGAAATTCAAATAAAAACCACATTGAGATTATCACCTAACCCCAGTAAGAATGGCTTACATCATAAAATTCTCAAAACAACAGATCCTGGCATGGATGTGGAGAGAAAGAAACTCTTCTACACTGTTGGTAGGACTGCAAACTAGTTCAGCCTCTATGGAAATTGTATGGAAAAACATCAAAGAACTTAAAGTAGACCTACCATTTAATCTAGGAATCCCATTGCTGGGTATATATCCAAAGGAAAAAAAGGTCATTCTGTAAAAAGGACAACTGCAGTCTAATGTTTATAGCAGCAAAATTCCTACTCACAAAGACATAGAAACAACTTAAGTGCCCACCAATACACCAATGGGTTAGCAAAATGTGATACATGCATATCATAAAGTACTAATCAGTCATTAAAAAAAAGTGACCTCATATCTTTTGTGACAGCCTAGATGAAAGTGGAAACCATTTTTAAGTGAAACATCACAAGAATGGACAAATATGTGTACTCAACACTCAATTGATTAACACTTAAGTGCACATATGGAAGTAAATCTCAATGAAAATCAAGCTGGGGGGAGGGAAGAGAAGGGGACGGGTAAATCCACACTTATTGTGTACAATGCACTCTTATAACTCTGACTCAATCTGTACAAAAACAAAGTAACAAAGTATGTAAACTAATATGTATACCCCCAATATTAAATTAAAAGTTAAAAAAATAGAATCAAACAAAATAAAAAGAAATGAGTGAAAATGAAAATACACATTAAACATACACAATACAGTGAATACAGTGATAAGGAGAAATTTTATAGTTATAGATATTTTAAAAAACAAGATTTGAAATCAACAACCAAAGGACAACTTAAGGAATTAGAAAATTAACAAAATAACTCAACACTAGCAAAAGGAAGGAGATACTAAAGAGCTGAATACTAAATAATATAGAAAAGTAACAAAATCCAAAGTTGGGTCTTTGAAAAGGCCGAAAAAAAAAAACAACAACAAAGCTTTAAGTACACTTTGATTAGAGCACTGGCTTCCTGGGAATTAAAAAGAAGGGGCTTCACGGTACAGAGGATCAAAGGTGCCAACTTTGGGAAGGCAGAATTTTTGGATAGAAAAAGGTAGCATCTGGACAAAGGTAGCATCCTCTGGAGACTTGTGCTAAAGGAAAGAATGGAGCAACTGGTACAGATTAAAGATCCTACTAGAACAGTGGTTCTCAACCTTCCTAATGCCATGGCCCTTTAATATAGTTCCTGTGGGTGATGACCCATAAGTTAAGAACTACTGTACCAGAACAAAACAGAATCAGAAGATCAAAATCACGCTACAATACAGTTATCTGTACCAGAATGTTCACTGCAGCCCAATTCACAATCGCTAGGTCACGGAAGCCCAAGTGCCCATCGACCCATGAATGGATCAATAAATTGTGGTATATGTACACCATGGAATACTATGCAGCCCTAAAGAAAGATGGAGACTT